CTCTCTCTCTCTCTCTCTCTCTCTCTCTCTCTCTCCACTAATTGTTTGAAGCATTTAAAGGTCAGATATGTCCTATTCCAGCTCATACGGGCCAAAACTTAGACAACTGGTCATATGGGGCTTCCACTAGTGCAGAGCCCATGATTTCTTTTGACCTGCAGCATCATTGTTCTTCCAAAGCCGAAAGGCTAGTAAATCAGTCTAGTCAACTTGGGTTGCCAGGTTGCACAGCAGCCAATTCAAACTACCTTGAAGGCTGAAATTATTTCCCGTGGACTCACGGTGAACGGTCTTTTTACCTTAGAGCCTTGTGTGAGTTACACCATCATTGTAACTGCTAACACTACATATATCAAAATAGAAGAAAAAAAAATTAAAACATAAAAAATAAGTACTTTCGTCCCACCCAAAGGGTAAAATGGGGAGGAGCCCAATCGAACACACTATATTTTTACTCATCAACCGAAAATTTGTCGATAACTAAAAGGTTGTTGTTAATAGCATCTCCATCGATAAATTAGTTAGTAATTTAAAAAATTTTAAGAGAATTATATCAACAGAAATTTCATTGACAATTACATCAATAAAGTCAATTAGTAGTTGGCTATGGTTGATTAACAATCTTCACGTCTTTCCTATTCATTGTATGTTATCACATTATTAATCACTTATCGACGAAAAGATTTCTGTCAATAAATTTTATCATCAATTCATTGATATTTTGGCGATTATATGCCTAATGAAGTTCAATAAAAAGTTGATCAATATTCCGTTAACAATTTCAATAAAACATTATCAACAGAAAATGTTCTGTCATTAAAATTTTCATTTTTATAATGTAAAAGTCTCATATTTTATGTTCACCTTGTTTCACCGAAATATAATCCAATAATTCAAATGAATTGTACTATAACTCTCAGTCAAATTTTGCCCCCACCCTAGTTTTGTAAAACAATCAAAGGTCGGCAACAAGTTTGTTGTAAGTTGTACAATATAAAAAAGGAAAAAAAAAATTGGTCCCCCATTTCCCCTCTCTTGATTTAAATGCCTTTTTTTCAGTCCCGAAGTTGTATGTTTTGGATGAGTGAACTTGCTCATCAATAATTTGCAAAGCCATACATAGAAAAGGAAACAAAGGTTGCACCTTACGTGATCTTCCCATTATTGGAGCAACACCTACCATGGAGCAACCATTCCCCGTTCACCAAATAACTTTACCACCTGCATTAACTACCAATATCTTCATATATATGATCCCGTCTAACTATGAAACCTTCATAACATGCATATTTAATTTAACTAATTAATGAATATGGCAAAATTGTTAACATCCAAACCTCATTCGAATATTAAATATTGGTTTATATATGTATGTGTATATATATATATATATATTTAGAGGGAGAGAGAGAGAGAGAGAGTTGAATGACATCGTTGTTTTCATTTTGTGGGTGGGCTCCGAAGCTGAGATTCACAATCCTCTTTGTTCATGAATTCGTACATTGTCTATCGGAAAAGATCACATGGAAAGATACAACCCAAGAGTAAAATTAAATGCCCATACAGTTTACCAAGAAGTCCAATAATTTGAAGTAATAGAATGGGCAAATGTAAAATTACAATCTCACGTTTTGTCAACATTTGCATTTAGATTCGAATGGTTTTTTTAACCATTCATTTATGGAAGGAAGGTGAATAAAGATGTTTAAATTTCCTGGAGGAAGGTGAGAGTGAGTGGCGTGGACAAGGCGTAGCTCAGGCCGTAGCCACTGGGCACTACGCAAGGAGCGGCCCGCACGATCAAAATCCCGATAGGAAATTTGTCGCGTAGTACAAGTACATCGTACGGATGGCGTACGAGGGGGGCCACACCAACACGGGCCATGCGGATGCGGTGCACCTTTACGCTGCGACATTGATGTCAGGCAATTGGCCCTCCAATCATTTAGCCCTCCCCCACTTTTCCATTCCACTCCTTTTCTACTTCCCATTTCAGAGCTTGCTATTTCCTTTTTCCCTTCTAATTTTTATTATCCCTCTCCTTCTGTAGATAGTAACTGTAAACCTCGGGTTTAAGTCTAACCCTCCTTTAGTCTTTTCCCGCCCTCTGCATTTCGGGTGAAGAAAGTAAGTTACCTCAATGGAATGCGTCCATAAATCCATTGTACTACAAAGTTATTTTGTTCATCACTCATCGCCACTCGGTTCTGGGTCCGAATCATACACCAAAAACAATACAGACGTATTATATCAAATGGTACATAAGAACCAGGCTACTGCTTCCTGAGCTGAGTGGTCCAATACCTTCGGTTTAAAAGCTTCAAGCTTTCACATTCTGCATTAAGGTTCCTGTTTCCAGAGCACTTTTTTTTTCTTTTCTTTTGGCTCTCCAGAAATTGCCGCGGAAATGTTGGAAAGCATGCATAAATAGACAAACCAGGAGCCGTAGGCCTTTGCCTAGCTACTTGTATCACTTTGATCTTTTCACTTCTTATGTGCCAAAATGCGTTTGGCAAATGAAATCAATACACCCCAAATTAGGAGTTGGATTTTCTTCTCACGGGTTTCATTTGTCGGGCCAAAGTAGCCGACTAATGTATTGGGCTTGCTGTTGTGAATATTGAAATTTGGGTGTGCTTTATAGTACATTTTTTCATGGCCTTAAAACCCAACTTCAGCCTTTGGTGGGACACTGGACAGGACAGGACCCATAATCAGGATTCGTCTTCCATCATAGTTTCTGCCACAGGCTCACTCAGGTCCCACACAGCAAACCAACAATGGGGCAATAACTCATCTATCTTCTTATTTCTTACTATTTCGTAGTAAATTAATCCCAGGAAAGAAGTAAATTTCAACAAAAAGCTGTTGTAGGAGAAGGAAAGGAACAATTAACTATAAAGGATGAGTT